TGAACGACGTCATTCCTCTGTTGCACGTCCCTGGGAAAACAAATGCTGTTAACAATGGCTGGTCAGGGTGCGGTAGACATGGCGCACAGATCTCAATGCCACATGACCCCTGTGGGGGCAGGACAGGAAGAAGAGGAGGAGGTAGAGGCGGACATTGGTGCTCAGGAATTATTGAGTGAAATGGGTGGTTTTTCCACTCAGCGGACAGGAGTGGAGGAGCAGGAGCATCTGGTAGAGGAGGAGGAGACAGAGGACCCAGACGCACCGTGGCAGTATGCTGTGGAGATGGAGGCAGGGAGTCCCTCGCATTCCTTGGCACAAATTGCCCATAGCATGCTCGCTTGCTTGCGTAGCGACAGCCGAATAATAACCATCAGACAGAGGGATGACTTTTGGCTGTCCACCTTGTTGGACCCTCGCTACCGTTCAAAAATGGTGGCCTTTTTCACACCTGCTGAGAGGGAGGCCAAAATAACGTACTATAAAAACCACCTATGTAGTCAGCTGGTCTCTGCCTTTCTGCGCCAACGTCCATCCTCAGACACTGTGGGCCCTGTGCGCTCGCGTTCCGCTGCCATGGCAGCAGGGGAGGGGTGGGGTGGTAGGAGCAGTGGCAGCTCCACCAGCAGCGGCTGCCTCAGTCTGCAGTCGATGATGAGTAGCTTTCTTCACCAGCGCAGTGAGGAAACTACTAACCAGCCGCAGCAGCAGCAGCATCAGGTGGACCTGGAGCAGGACCTCAAACAACAGGCTTAGGCCTACTTGGACAGCACCCTGCCAACCGAGGTAGACAATCCCCTTGACTACTGGGCAACGAAACTTGACCTTTAGCCCCAACTAGCTGAATTTGCCCTTGAAAGGCTGTCATGCCCGGCCAGTAGCGTGGCATCGGAGCGCGTGTTTAGTGCGGCAGGAAGTATTGTAACTCCGCGGAGGACACGACTGTCCACCCAAAGTGTGGAGAGACTCACGTTTGTGAAAATGAATCAGGCGTGGATTAGTCTGGATTTCAAACCACCAGTTCCTGACACAACTGACTAAATCCGCCATTAATCATGCCCCAAAACATGTGCCACTTTCAGGTCTCCTCACACTGCTGGTGTGTTCCATTTTTTGTCATAGGGTGCTGGCAGATTACGGGCCTTCCATTGCTACTGCCAGGCCCGTAATCTGCCATGGGCCCCTGTACCGCCTCCTCATGCTGCTGCCAGGTCCAGAGTGTGTCATGGGTCCCTGTACGGCCTCCCATTGCTGCTGTCTCCATCGCCACACTCTGCCATGTGCCACTTTCAGGTCTCCTCACACACTGCTGTGTGTTCCATTTTTTGTCATAGGGTGCTGGCAGATTACGGGCCTCCCATAGCTGCTGCCAGGCCCCTAATCTGCCATGGGCCCCTGTACCGCCTCCTCATGCTGCTGCCAGGTCCACAGTGTCTCATGCCATGTGCCACTTTCAGGTCCCCTCACACACTGCTGCTGTGTTCCATTTTTTGTCATAGGGTGCTGGCAGATTACGGGCCTCCCATAGCTGCTGCCAGGCCCCTAATCTGCCATGGGCCCCTGTACCGCCTCCTCATGCTGCTGCCAGGTCCACAGTGTCTCATGCCATGTGCCACTTTCAGGTCTCCTCACACTGCTGTGTGTTCCATTTTTTGTCATAGGGTGCTGGCAGATTACGGGCCCCATTGCTGCTGCCAGGCCCCTAATCTGCCATGGGCCCCTGTACCGCCTCCTCATGCTGCTGCCAGGTCCACAGTGTCTCATGGGTCCCTGTACGGCCTCCCATTGCTGCTGTCTCCATCGCGACACTCTGCCATGTGCCACTTTCAGGTCTCCTCACACACTGCTGGTGTGTTCCATTTTTTGTCATAGGGTGCTGGCAGATTACGGGCCTCCCATAGCTGCTGCCAGGCCCCTAATCTGCCATGGGCCCCTGTACCGCCTCCTCATGCTGCTGCCAGGTCCAGAGTCTCTCATGGGTCCCTGTACGGCCTCCCATTGCTGCTGTCTCCATCGCCACACTCTGCCATGTGCCACTTTCAGGTCTCCTCACACACTGCTGGTGTGTTCCATTTTTTTGTCATAGGGTGCTGGCAGATTACGGGCCTCCCATTGCTGCTGCCAGGCCCGTAATCTGCCATGGGCCCCGTACCGACTCCTCATGCTGCTGCCAGGCCCGTAATCTGTCATGGGCCCCTGTTGTCGCTTGTTGGCATATTCCGCTCGTTCAGATGCTCCTTCTCCTGCTACTCCTCTTCACGGATTCCGTCAGCAGTCTTTCTTGGAATCCGTTTCCAAGAGACAACAGTTTGCGAGCACGCACCCGACGGTGCAGAAGCTGAACGTCCTCCTGTCCAAGTTGCTGCTGCCAGGCTCGTAATCTGTCATGCGCCCCTGTACCGCCTCCTCATGCTGCTGCCAGGTCCAGAGTGTGTCATGGGCCCCCGTACCGACTCCTCATGCTGCTGCCAGGCCCGTAATCTGTCATGGGCCCCTGTACCGCCTCCTCATGCTTCTGCCAGGTCCAGAGTGTGTCATGGGTCCCTGTATGGCCTCCCATTGCTGCTGCCAGCCCGTAATCTGCCATGGGCTCCCGTACCAACTCCTCATGCTGCTGCCAGGCCCGTAATCTGTCATGGGCCCCTGTACCGCCTCCTCATGCTGCTGCCAGGTCCAGAGTGTGTCATGGGTCCCTGTATGGCCTCCCATTGCTGCTGTCTCCATCGCCACACTCTGCCATGTGCCACTTTCAGGTCTCCTCACACTGCTGGTGGGTTCCATTTTTTCATAGGGTGCTGTATGGCCTCCCATTGCTGCTACCCTCCACCGCCACACTGTGGCTCCACACTCTGGTTTTTGCCCCGTGACTGCCCAAATGAGTGAAGTGTGCGGTGATTCTAAGATCGACGGCACTCATCTGCATGTCATACTGACTGTCAGTATTATTTCTATTCCCCAGCAGACTCCAAGGGCATTTAAATTAAAGGTATAGTGTTCTGCACTAATATAAAGGCTCTCTGAAGCCTAGAAACACCCTTTTATAAGTTAAATTCGCAGCGAATATATTCGACTCGAATCGAAATTTTTTCACGAATTCGCCGAATCAGTCGAATCAAATTTTTTAATAATTCGCTCATCTCTACCACTGATGTATTTAAACATGTTGATCATATCCTCTCTTAATCTCTTCTCAAGAGAGAATACATTCAGTTCCTCTAATCTTTCCTCATAGCTGAGCTCCTCCATGCCTTTTATCAGTTTAGTTTGCCCTTCTCTGTACTTTCTCCAGTTCCCCAATGTTCTTTTTGTGAATTGGTGCCCAAAACTGACTGCATATTCCAGATGAGGTCTTACTAATGATTTGTACAGGGGTAAAATGATATCTCTCCTCTGGAGTCTATACCTCTTTTAATACAAGAGAGGATTTTGCTTGCTTTAGAAACTGCAGCTAGGTATTGCATGCCATTATTACGTTTGTGATCTACCAGAACTCCCAGATCCTTCTCCACCATTGATTCCCCCAGTTGTACTCCCCCTAGTATGTATGATACATGCATATCCTTAGCCCTCAATGCATAACCTTACATTTATCAACATTAAACCTCATTTGCCACATAGTTGCCCAATTAAACAGTGCATTGAGGTTGGCTTGTAAGCAGGGGCAGACTGACAACTCATGGAGCCCCCGGGCAATAGGGGATCATGGGGCCCTGTGTCCTTGCCCAAACTCAAAAAAGCCTATGAAAAAGGTGCCAGGGGCATCTCATGGGGCACCCTACTGACCCCGGGCCCTCGGGCAGTGCCCGAGTTTCCAAATGGTCAGTCCGCCACTGCTTGTAAGTTGAAGACATACTGTAAGAATGTTAGTCTACCGCACAACTTGGTGTCATCTGCAAAGACTGAAATGGTATTTTTAATCCCAGACTCTATATTGTTTATAAATATATTAAAAAGTAAGCATCCCCTCGAGTATTGGAAGCACATTATAGAACCCATGTGGGCAACCCATCTCTCCTAAACAAAACAATGTTATCGCAAAAGCACCTAGAATTAAATACTTTGCTTTCCCAGAAAACGGAGAAGGCTCTGCGCTGGTCGAAGGCCTCTTTTTTATTACATAGCAACTCAGCCTCTACTATGTTTGCACGAAAATTAAACCACTCTATACGACCCCCACATCTCTACAAATGACGTACTAAATCAGGCAGCATCTCCTCTCTTCCCCATGAAGTCCTGGGAATTTTCAAAAATTTTTATTCCACCCTATTAGTGTCCCCACAACCAACCTCCACCTCTCCAAATGGCTCATTGCTTGATTCTATACCCCTCCCTGCCCTGCTCTCACACCCTCTCAAATATCCTCTCTTAATGCTCCATGCACTTTGGAGGAAATCACCTGTGCGATTAGTGCACTAAAAACTTCCACAGCACAGGCCCCAATGGGTTTACATCCAGTTATTAAAAACACTTAACACTTTGCCCCTACATTGGCTCCCTTTCTGATGCCTTTTTTCAATGATGTTTTGCAGGGAGGTAGGTTTCCCGAGGAGATGCTGTTGGCTAACATGTCTCTATTACCTAAACCACTAAAAGATCATCATTTACCTCAAAACTATAGGCCAATCTCGGTAATAAACAATGATTTGAAAATATTCAGCCACATTCTGGCAGATAGGTTGGCCCCTATTATCTCCTCTTTAGTCTCTCCGGACCAATCAGGTTTTATCCCAGATAGATTTATTATGGACAAAATTCGTCTCACATTGAATGTTATCCAGGATGCCAATTTACATTCTAAAGAGGTTTTGCTGAGCCTGGACATCAGTAAGGCTTTTGATAGTCTCCTCTGGCCCTATTTGTGTTCATTACTGCAGAAGATGGGCTTTAGTGCAGGATTTCTATCTGGGGTACATGCTTTGTACGACTCCCCCAAAACAAGAATAAGACTTCCAGGTTGTAATTCAGACTTTTTTACACTGGGCAGGGGCACCCGTCAGGGCTGTCCTCTTTCGCCCTTATTATTTGCGCTAGTGTTGGAACCCTTGGCAATTGCAATAAGGTCACATTCGGACATTTCTGGTTACCCATTATTGGTTTCACATTTCAAAATATGTATGTACGCTGATGATGTTATGATTTTCCTTACTAATCCGTTAGTATCATTACCTAATTTATGTACAGTGCTGAATGACTTTGCTATAGTGTCAGGTCTTACTGTAAATTTTACTAAATCAATGATTATACCTATCAATATTCCTGATTCCCTGAGTGCATCTCTTCGCAATTCTTTTCCATTTCGTTGGACCACTGATCAGATTTCATACCTTGGTATTAACCTCACTCCCAGATACTCAAACTTATTTGCTGCTAATTATCCACCATGTGTGTCACACCTCTCCACTCTGTTGAAAATCTGGCATGGATACCCTATCTATTTCTTGGGCAGAGTCAATGCAGTCAAAATGTATATATTGCCTAAATTACTTCATCTATTTATGGCACTCCCAGTCCCTGTCTCGAAAACAGTCCTAGATCACTTTCAACGGCTGATTAACAATTTTATTTGGCGTAATTAATGTCCTCGTTTTACTTCATTGGTCCTATACTGGTCGCAACGGGTGGGAGGTCTCGGTCTCCCCAATTTCTGGCTTTACTACCTGTCGGCTCGTTTCACACAATTATTACAATGGGTGACCAATAATTCCCAGATCCCGTGGATCAGATTTGAGTCTCAGTCTATACGTCCGTTCTATTTACCAGGCATATTGTGGTCCAAAATCACTCATTATGGACTCATAATTCCGTTGTGGCCCATTCATTGACGCTTTGGTCTCGATATAAACTTAGATTAAATCTGGTCTCCTCTGTCTCTCCAGGTACAGCATTTTTTGGTGACCCGGATTTTATTGAGGCTTTTTCATCTCTGCAGGCGTTTCGTTGGTGGTATGATAGATCCTTCATTAGGTTATCTGATTTTCAAAGAAGAGGATCTTATACGCACACACTTTGATATCCCACTTTGTGAATATAATCATTATCGACAGATCAGACTTTCTTTAGTTCACATTTTGGTCTTATACTTTCATCTCCGATTTTTTGTTTTTCGAACGTATTAGCCGTGACTCTCCTATGGGCAGGGGGTCTTATTTCAGATGTGTATCGTCAACTTTTGGCTAGTTCTTCTTCCACAACCCCACTTTACAGACAAAAATGGGAAACTGATAGTGGTGTCACCTTTTCGGATGAGGATTGGGATTCCATGGTGGATAACATATGTAAGAGATCCAGATCCCTTTCGGTCCGTGATATGGCCCTCAAGGTATTAACCAGATGGTATTATACCCTATCTAGACTACATGTCATGTACTACACTTCTAACCTATGTTTTCGTGGCTTCGGCCTTGCAGGTACTCTGGTGCATACATTTTGGACCTGTCCGGGCCTCTCCTTGGTGTGGCGTAGGATCTCAGAGGTAGCTTCTGTGTTGGCGGGTGTTCTGGTGCAGCTGACTGTGCAGTCCTGCCTACTGGGTGCCCATATCTCGGGAGTTCAGACTGAGGTTATGAAGCTAATCCACACCATTTGTATATCCACCCTATAGGCTATTGCCCTACACTGGAAGTCCCTCTCAGTACCATTGGCTTCTGTTCTGCATAGGATTGATGCTGTGATGCTCATGGAGAGCATTCATTACACTTTACTGGACAAGATGTACTTATTTGATAGAAAATGGGAAATTTGGAAGACTCATAGGCATTTACTACATGATTAAGAATCACCCATGTTTGGATTGATTGAGTTACTCTGTCAGTAGCTGAATAATTCTGTATACATTTCTATTTATATTGCTCATGTACTTAAGTTCT